GGCTAGTTTCTACCCCTAAGATGTTACATTCTGGTGAAGTATATCGAATTCTAATTTGATGTTACAGTGAGATAGGTGTTTGTAGGAGGCAAAATATTCAGGTTCTATGCAGCTATTCAGGCATTGAGACCATGTTTGAGCGAGCTTGGTGCATTGAGAGAACTTTCAGATCTTTCATTACAGTTGAAAAGATGAAAGTGGGAACATGAGAAATGAGGCTCATAGTAAGCAGGGACAGATTTATGGTTTTAAGGTTTTTACTTCCACCTTTCTCCCATAGCTCTACAGTTCATTTCTGCTGGTCTGGTGAGTGGAGGGAAGATTAGGGGAGAAATATATTCCAAAATTTCTTTTTTGCTAAATACTGCCACTGAAACTGCATGCTAATCTCTTCAGTAACAATATTTCATTGTAGATATTTTATACTCATGTGGCTCTTCATCTCTAAATTGTGAACTTAAAAACAGGGGCTCTGTTTTATTCATTTCCATATCTAAAGCATCTAATAGTATCTTGGTAAATTTTGAAAAATGTCATTTAACATGTATAGTCATTGTATGTATTATTCTAATAACCAAGACATAGGTGTGCTATTTAAAAAAAAAATAGAGCTGAAGTTTTAAACAGATGGACTTACAAACTACTCTGTGAGTTTAAGATTACCTGTCTTTGAGTAGAGAAAAATTACTAAATAGGAAAATTAAGGATTTTTTAAATTACAAGGACATTCACAGCTTAACAGAAGAATTCAGTACAGAATTTGGTCAACTGTGTTTAGTTTGAAATGTTTTACTATTGTTTTGGTTTATAGACTTATGAGGAAGATCGAAGAAACTACTCTGAGCTTCAAAATAGATGTCAACGTTTGGCTTTAGAATTAGCAGACACGAAACAGTTAATTCAGCAAGGTGACTACCGTCAAGAGAACTATGACAAAGTTAAGAGGTAAGGAGTTAAGAAGGGTACAGTAGCTTTTCTCATTTTTAGCATGCACCTGAATTCAGTCACCTGAATTTTTTTTTTTTAATTTAACAAGAGTTTATTTGAGCCAAACTGTCAACATGGGGAGCAAGATCTCGAGTCACCTGAATTTTTACCATTGACATTGTTAATTCTGCTTTGTATAGTCATGTGCTGCTTAACAGAGGATACGTTCTGGAGAATTGCATCATTAGGCAATTTAGTCATTGTGTGATGATCTTACAGTGTACTTACACCAGATGGTATAGCCTACTACAGTAATTATGTGTGCTCTACTTTCATACAGCTGACAGTGCAATAGGTTTTTTACATCAGCATCACCACAAACATGTGATGCGTTGCTCTACTAGTATGATGTATGGCTTTGATGTCATTAGGCAATAGAAATTTCTCAGCTCCATTATAATCTTATGGGACCACTATCATATATGCAGTCCCTCTTTGGCCAAAAGTCATTATGTGGCATATGACTATACCTTATTCTTTTTCTGTCTCCATAGTTTTGACTTTTTCAGAATGTAATATAGTTAAAATTATGCAGTACAGAGCCTTTTCAGATTGGCTTCTTATAGTAATACTAGTAGCCTGGTGCACAAAAATTTGTGCACTCGGCGGGGGGTGGGGGGTCCCTCAGTTATTAAACATTTATCGGCACAACACTGACCACATTGGTGGTGGTGGTGGTCTTGTCAGAATGTGTTATATTATGCAGATGAAAATCTATTTAAACAGATTTGATGTAGATATTTTCAAAGATGGAAGAATTGTCCCTGTCGACTATTTTAGTTGATTCATATCTTCACTAATTGTCATCATTGCAAAGTTTTCAGTCCCCATATGGATTGCTGGATATAATAGGTCATGCGCTGTCCCTGTCCTTTGTAGCCTTTGTTACCTTAAGGACTCTAGTTTTCCATTTATATGTTTAAGTACCACCTTACTGGCTTAAAAAAAAATGTAAGCTTTTAACACTGCTCTCTCTGTTCCGTATCCTTCCGATGAAAAGTGGAGTTGGTTTGCAGCACAGGAGAGAAATTCAGAAGGGGAATATTGAAGTAATGACTACAGTAGGAGAAGAGGGAACCTATTTCCCTGGCCATAGGTGCTGGTGCCCTTGGCGTGGGGGCCCTGGACCACAGGGCTGGCAGCTTCTCCAGGTGGCTGCAGCCTGGGACCTCGGCGGGTGGCTTGTCCGTCTCCTGGGATGCAGGCAAGCCACAGCT